TTATGATTTAATTTAAGTTTAATAAGAAAATAATTTATTTTTGGTTTAATAATATAATATTTATAAAGATAATAATTAAAGATTCTGCTAGAACTCAATAATTATGCTAATTATATTTAGAGTTTATATATTTAAAATTAGATGTTTATCATGTATTTGATTATTTTTACCTACAGTTAGTTACAAGAATTCAGATATGAAACTTTAATAAGYTGTACTTACGCAYAATCTATTTGTAATCTTGAGTTTTAAATAACATGCATTAATAAACAATACTTTATGCATATAAAGTAGTTTTTAAGAGTTCTTGTCAAATGCTTTATAACATAGTGTATATATATGGGGGCCCATTCAAGGGAGAACTGATTAATTTGTGGTAACTGTGAGATCCAATCTCAACCACAAATCAACGGATAAATTAGGAAATTAATAATTATAGTAATTTGAGTTAAAATTATAATTATAGGGCATTTTAGGTATTTTTAAAAAACTCTTCTCTCCTCTCTCATCTCTCCGACCTCCAATCTCCGGCCTTCGATGAACATTAATCTGTCTGGTACCAAGTAATCACAAATATACACAATGTGATACCCATTGTGATATACTGTGATACCATTGTGATACCAACTATGATACCAACTCAAACCTTAAAAACAAAGATACACAATGTGACATCTATTGTAATACACAATGTGATACCCATTTGTGATATACTGTGACACCGATTTCACCGGAGGCCGGAGATTGGAGGTCGGAGAGATGAGAGAGGAGAGAGGAAAGAGGAGTTTTTAAAAAACACATAATATGTCATATAATTATAATTTTAACTCAAACTACCATAATTATTAATTTCTTAATTTATCCATTGATTTGTGGTTGAAGTTGTACCTCACAGTTACCACAAACTATTCAGTTTTTATTTGATTAGGCCCATATATATATATATATATATATATATATATATTATCTTATTAAGCAAATTTAACAAAAGTTTTAAAGTCTTAAAATACTAAATGACCAAGATACCCTTTAGTCACTTTTTCACTTTTTCAACCCCCTCACCCCCTCACATACACTCACCCTCTCACAACCATTTTTTTAAATTATAATTTTAAATTTACACTTTATACCCCTATAATTAGTTAATTAATTTACTTTACGTTCTTTACTTTTAAATGTTTCATTTTAAACCTTTTATCAAATTAACATACATAATCGTATATTAATTAAAACATGTTTAAATAATACATTTTTATTTTAACAAGTTACACCATTATAATCGTCTCGTTAATACCTTCGAAATGAGTCCAATATTAAATAGTTTTTGACTTAATTATATTATTATATATACTGTGAAAAAATATTTTTAATATTTACGATTTATACTTTTATAGTTATTTATTTATATATATACTATATATTTTGGGGTTAGGCTGTCCAAATTGCACTGTATAATATGTTTTGAATTAATATGTTCTTGGGTTTTATATATATATATATATATATATATATATATACATGTATTAATTCAACCTTAATATGAGTTTCTGGACAAGAAAGAGGGTAAGCAGTTGAAATTTCATTCTAAAACCCATATTTTTTGGTCTTTTCATGGCTAATGATCTGTCAAATTTGTAGGTTTCTTTTTTGGTTTTGAGTGTTTATCTTAAAACTCAAGTTACTTGTTTCTTTGCTCTTAGTGTAAATCGAAACACATTTGTGGAGTCGTTTCAATATGTTGGATTTTAACTATATTGAATTTTAAACTGTCATACAATTTTTTCATCAATAGTCTGTCATTGGAACCATAACTCTTATTTATTCAAAATGTATTAATATGTAAAGACCAAATGTAACCTACATCATCGTTAAATTTTATCTTATAAAACC